CAGATAACCTTTCAAGGAAGGATGGGAACCAGAGGATGACCAACAAGTCTGCAAAATTTTCCATAGTAACTAGAAGATGACCATATAAAAAAAAGTCAAGAGTTTCGAACCATCTGTTTTTTAAAATATTAAAACCATTAGTGTCGTCGACCCCCTCAAAAGTCCTCCTATTTATTTCCTTCCAAACAACCCAAAAGATAGTAAACGGGATAAAGTTCATATGTTTTCTTCCGCCTCTAATGCCCTTCCATGTTCAAACTTCTTTCCTCACCGAACCCATCATCACTCAACTTACACCCAACAGCCCATAAACTATAATCCATAACTCATAGACCACCAGACAATGCAGTAACACATGCTTACAAGTCTCCTCATCCTTCTTGTAGAGAAAACAGGTGTTAATCAAAATATTTCCCCTTTTCTCCAGGTTGTCAATGGTTAAGAAACATTCCCAACTACCCTCCCAAGCAAAAAAAGAAATCCGAGAAGGGATTCTGGTCTTCCATATCTGTCTGACAAGAAAGCAAGTACCATCATCACTATACTTGTACAGCTTTGTGTTGGAAAATTTAACCAAAAATTATCCGGTGTGTCTAAGGCTCCAAAGGGGAGAATCAGTACTGTTCTCCAGTTATATGCAAGATAATTTCTGAAGTAACTCCTCATATTCGTCAATCTTCTAATCGTTAAGTAATCTCGATACCAAGACCTGCCACTCCTTCCCTCTACTGCTATTCACCGCAAGAGAGTCACATATTTTAATGTTTTTCTGTTGTACTATTGTATAATTATGAGGGAAATGTGCCATCAAAGTATCCTCTTCCATCCACTTATCCTCCCAATATCTCACTCTATTTCCCCTTCCCACCTTCCACTTTGTACACTCCAGGAAGTTGACTTTTCTTTGGATGAGCTTCTTCCACAGACTTCTGCCATATGGTCTTGAGCTTTCTCTAGTGAAACAACCCCAGTCATCGATGTCAAATTTTACTGAAATTATTCTTCTCCACAAATCATCTTCCTCTGTTAGGCTAAATGGTATAATATACCCTTCTTATGTAATTAATAGTATTTTATTTTGTTATTCATAAAATCTGTATATATAAGGCCCTATATTATTCAATAAAAAACATACTTCATTCTCCACACTAAGTTCTATGCACATCCCTAGGATGCGACACACTCCTTGAACAGTGGTGCAATTGTGCAACCTTGGTGCAATCCTGGGACCTAGGTTCATTCCCAGGTTCGAAAAACGTTCCCAAAGCCAAGAAACATCCTTGGCCCGTGTTGCATTCATGATAGTCGAGAATGGTTCCAAATCCCAAGCACAAATCTCGCACAACCCCGAGTCTTCACTTGATACACTATTACAGCAACTCAAGTAAATTAAATCAATACTGAATTAGCAGTTAACCACACAATATCCTTTCCTTTAAATCATTGGAGATCAACTGATCAACTTTTTGTTTTTGACAGCCCCAACCTCCGTAATCTTCCTCTTCAAACTACATGTCATTGGTGATTCTATCTCACTGTATTAACACCAAACTAATATAAAAAAGCAATTTACTATTCAAACCTTACCATAAGTGCGATTAGCGATCACAACCCTAGCTCCCTTTTGTTTTGCACCATAACCGAGTGCCTTGCCAGCACCACCGGCACCAATTACCACAAACAGCTTACCAGCTAATGGTGAACCAGCTGCACTATTAGCATTACCTGAAGCTGTCAACAAAGATGAACAGGACTTAGCACCATTTCCAAAATTGCTCTAGAGGAACATTCATAGAAAGTTCAGAAAAAAACGGAAGGAACCTTGCAATCGGTCCTCAATAGCAGAAATAGCACCAACGTAGTCGGTATTGTAACCAAGTAACTTCCCATCATTATATCTCCTTATGATACAATTGACAGCTCCTATTGACTGCAAGATATTGATAATATTCATGGGTATAAACTAAAGAAATGGGAACAACTCAGATTAGAAGCTCCAGATACTAAGATATTCTCAAATACCTTTGCCACTGGATCAACCTCATCACAGGATTTCATTGCAGCCTCTTTGTGAGGAATTGTGCAACTGCATGTGATAAAAGTTATTTTGTCACTTAAGTATAATAAATAAATTATTGGTAACATTTTCTGTAAATGAAAAAGATGACAATGAATTCCAACAAACTGAACCATATAATTAAATATGCTGGAATATTTCCCTTGTCACTCTAAACCGATGAGAGATTCACAAAGTTTTCCCATCAAAGACAAAAATAAATAGAAAGATGTCGTTTATTTAGTGATGAACGAAGAACTCTATCGAAGAGAAAGATAATGCACAAAATAGGAGAGGATATGACATCCCTTGCCCCAAAAAGAACATAGCAAGAAAAATTAAAAAAAAAATAGAAAACCTTAAGGCAAAAATAAAAATCTAATCCCTATGCATTTGAAAGTGATGATTGAAGATTCTGCATCAAGTTCCAACTAGATGACCTTAACGAATAAAATTTGCCCCTCCTACTAACACTTTATGCTCCTTGGTCCTCCCAATGACCCTTTTTTTTAAAATAAAAGAGAAAGAGTATTATTATGCGAAAAGATACCAAGGGGATAAAACACAAAATTATAAGTCGATCAGATAGTTCATGACAACTCCAATATCTTCCCAATCTACTATGTCATGACCAAGCAAAATAGAACCAAAAGTATGAAACCATCTATCTCTAATATTTACAATATATGTTTCAATACTCTCAAAAACTCTAACATTCCTCTCCCTCCAAACAACCCACATAATAGAAATTGGAATAAGGAATAAATTTTTTTTCTTTTTACATAAATCAGCCCACGTCCACAACTCCTTGCTAACACTACCCGCCATGGCCCACTTCATCTCCATAATCCCATACACGTAGTCCCAAATTCTGTAGACCAGAGGACAATGACGTAACAAGTGATTGCATGATTCTTCATCTGCCTTGCACATGTAACACCTATTAGTTATTATCATTATTACCATATCTCTTTTTCTCAACATATCAATGGTCAAGATTTTTTCTGTAACAGCTTCCCAAATGATAAAAAGTCATTCGAGGCGGTGCTTTTGACCTCCAAATTTGCTTAAACGGTGCTGTCTTGGCATTCTCCTCACCATTTTTGACAATAAAATTATAGTAGGACTTCACCAAAAAACCTCTTTTCTTGTCCGATTTTCAGATTCTTGTCTTTCAAATTACCCATCTTAAAAACAGCAAGCCACCGATGCAGATTACAGAATTCTACCTCTTCTTCCTCCTTTAAATTTCTTCTAACCCCTCCCCCCCCCAGCCTTCTCCCTTCTCAAACGTTTTCTCCACAAGAATATCCCTCTCACTAGCAATCTCAAAGATCCTCGGGAATTTATCTTTCAATTTGAAGTCACCAGCCCACTCATCCTTGCAGAATTTAATTTCGACCTCATTACCTAGCAATCTCAATGACCCATAAGGTAGAATAGGTGAAAATCTCTAGAGTAGGAGGATGTTACGATCCCTACTGATGAATCGCATCATGGGACAATTTAAAACGAAATCAGTAGGTATAATTGTAGCATAGAAACTTACTCTTCATTGATATTAATACTTAGACGCAAGGCTGCCTTCATCCCACAGCAGAGGATATATACAAATAGGAGCAGTTAATTCTATAATTTTGAATTTCCAGAATTGCCTAAACTGTCCTCGTCTTATAACAGACTTATTTCCTACGCTAATACACAATTAACACTTATTTAAACACTTACATAGAGATTACATAATAAACATTAAAACTAACACATATAGATAGGCAATTACACAGGATTGCTCATCCTTGTGTTCAGGAACTATTTTGTTCCTAAATGAGAACAAACCTACTCAACCACAGATCAAAAAGAAATAAAAACTCAAGTAAGCAGAATTGAAGCCAACAATAAAGAAAAGATGATAATTGCTCTTCAAACATTGATAATACATTAAACAAATGTCAGGAGAAAGAGCTCTATGAGGTCTCCAAGTGTGGGGAATACCATTGGCATAATCCTCTTCAGAATAACAGTTCAAGCAAAAAGTTTAACCCAGGGGGAGCTTTCACTTTTCAGAAAATATGACATGGAGAACTGAAACGGATATCAAGATTGCCAATGAGAAATTCCAAAAAAGGATTTACAAGTGCAAACACCAGATTGCTCACAGCTAGGTCCAGCAATCAGGGCAATGGGGTAAAAAACTGCCAAGAGTATCCATCAAAGACATCAAATAAATTGTTTCTCTACCATCTTATGTAAAAAAAAAAAGAAATTCCATGAAACTTGACCATCAAGGCAATTAAATAAGAAAATAGAGATAGAAGCAAAATTCATGGAGCAGAGATGATATAGGCAAGGAAAAGGGCAGCCAAGGCAACTTTCCCCTCTAAAATCACATAAAGAAACATTGGTCTTGATAATAGGAGCAAGGAAACATCAGATCTCATAGTATTAAATCAATGTAGTATATTCGACATGTAACAAATCCTATGTTTTAACCTGAATCCAGCAAAATCTGGGGATGAATAAGTCCAGAGAAAATTTGCAATGTCATCGACCAACAAATGCACATAAACGCCATTGAAACCCACTGACTTGAATGCCTCATTGTGTAAAGCAGGTGATTTGCTGTGACTAACAGGCTTCCCAATAATCCCATATACTTTTGTATCAGGGCCTATCTGTCTGAAATTGTACAGATACAATAGATCCTTTATTGTCGGTTGACCAGGAGCTGAAACTATTCCAGCCTCAAGGGTTCCAAAAGTGAGATAACCACCAAATTTTGCACAAAGTATTCGTGAAATCAAACCTCTTTCTCCCATAACAAGTCCAATTACTGGAACCTGAAATTTTTTAACTGAAAGAATAAATTAACAAATTTTTACCATATAAAAAATCTGATAAACCATAAATCAGACGCTTTGGTGTTTAGCACAGTAGAGAAGGCTGCACTCCTGCTGTAAGATTCCAATTCACAGTGAGAAGCTAAAAATTAACTTAAAAGCTTGTAAACCACTGGCATGCCACATATACTGCTTACTTGAGAATGCACAGTTATTTGGAAAATGCGTGCCACATCAGTGATGTCCAAAGCAGTTGTCGCAATCTTCACTATGTCAGCTCCAGTTGATTGTATTTTTGCAACAAGGTTACTGAGATCCTCAGCAGATGGAGTATTCTGGTAGTTGTGAGAGGAAACAATGACTTTGAATTTCTCAGGCTTCTTTTCATATATAGAGTTCACGAACTCACCAGCAACCTTCACAAAAAGTAATTAGATCTGTAAAAAATGTTGTTCAGGTTTCAAAATCTAACTGCAAAGTTTAATGATATGATTTTTTTTTTTGAGATAAAAAGAGTGAGAAATATATTTATGAGACACCAAGAAAGTGCCCCCCGTATACAAAAAATTTACAAGCGGTTAGTAAGTATATCTACAAAGACCACAAAATCGTCAGGACTATAAAAATCATGTTCCAAAACCATAAAACCAAAAAAATGAATCCATCTATCTTTAATTTTGACAAGCGGTTCTTGTTTCTTTCTTTCCAAATTATCCACAAAATGGATAAAGGGATGAGACACAAGACATCATGATCATTTCTCAGCCCCTCCCAAGCTAATAGTTCAGATCTAACCGTTCCCGCCATAACTAAACTGATGCTGAGAAGACCATAAACAGAGGACCAGAGACCGTAGGTGAAAGGACATTCAATCAGGAGGTGGTTACATGATTCAGCATTGCGCTTGCAGAGAAAACATCTGTTCACCAGGGTTATTTCACATTTCATCAGATTATCCACTGTCAGGATACGTTCTTTATCTGCTTCCCAAGCAAAAAAGGAGATACGAGTTGGAGCTTTAGATTTCCACGCAATTTTAACAGGGAAAATCTCCTGGTTCAACCTGCTGTACCTTAACAGATGGCTGTAGAAGGATTCAATGGAAAAAGAACCTTAATAACATGATGTCTTCTCTCACTTTGTGTAGGGGGAGCTGTATACCCTTGGGTGAATCTGGATCTTTAACTGTTCCCCTAGTCTAATATCATGGAATTAAGTAGGGAAGCTCGGCAAGTAATACCTCACAAAAAGATATACAATGAAAAATTATATAAATAGATCTTAGAAGAAAGATACCAAAGTTTCACATTCCTCCAAGTACTTTTTCCTAAGAATACATTCCTTTAAATGCTATAGAGCTTTTACATTTCACATTAAAACTATTCATTGAAACATACAAAGAGTTTTATATTCCATATGACTTCATATAAATTGATGAAGAGGAGGAAAGCTATGGGATTATGAGAATAAAAAGCTAAGAAAAAGAGAAATTTCCAACTTGTCAAAAGTTTCGTAATGGTGCATTAATAGAAACACCAGGATGGATTACTAAGAAATTTACGACCCTGGATGTACATATATCCAAGACTCAAGCATCTTATAATTTGTCTAAGATATTATAAGCTAATGAAACATTGATCAAGAACCACAATTTTGATTTCTACAGTGTTAGAATTTTTAATCAGGTGTCAGCCCCCTCATCTTTTCCACAAAGTGTCTTTAAGATTGTCTGAAGCAATTGACTTAAATCTATGATACCTAGGTTTGGAGTTTGTCTAGGCAATTCTATGAGTTATTTATGATTTCTAGTTTTTTATAATCATTCAAAGAAATTTCCAGAAACTATAATCTTTAAGGTGTGAATCAATTGATTTTAAATTAAGATATCCTAGGCATGATATCCAGGTTGGGAATAGTCCACTCAAGAACTGTTCATAGCCTAAAATGGCATCACAATTCCTAAGTAGGCAAATCATCTCAAATTGACCTACATGAAATGTCCTAAAACTAAAAAGAAATAAGGTCTATAAAACTAATAAGACAATAAACAAAAAGATGACTCAGCAACAAAGTAATAACTAGAGGATAAAAATAATCAAAAATGAAAAAAAACAGTTGCTTGACAGTCAAGTTGCTAAAGTATATCGATATTAAAAAATGCACCCCTATGGCTCACTATGATTAAGATTAACATATAATTTTCAACCTGACAAGCCACCAACTTTCTAACAAGTTCTGTGAATTTCACATCTGAAATTATTATCGTCTCCATAACAGAAAGAAAGAGAAACCAGCCTTTTCAGAGAGAGAGAGAGAGAGAGAGGAAACTTATACAAGTTCTATGAATTTCACATCTTAAACTATTATCAAGTCTCCATAATAGAAAGAAAGAGAAAGCAACCCTTTCAAAGAGAGAGAGGAGCTTAGACAAGTTCTATGAATTTTACATCTTAGATTATTATCAAGTCCCCATAATAGATATATACGTGTGTATATATAAATAGAGAGAGTAAGTAACCTGAAGCTCCACATCAACATAATCAGCTCCCAACTCCATGGCCAATCGGAGTGTATTTAATCGCTCCTTTTCATCACCATCATACTGACCACCCTCCCATTTTGGTCTAGAAACATGAAAAGAATCAGTGTCCCAATCTTGGAGCTGTCTAAAAGATGTAACGACATAATAATTCTGGAAATGCAATGGATAACTCTGACTAAGATAAGCAGACAACAAAAATTTCTTAAAATTGGAAGATAAGAAACCAATTTAACTTTAGTTGTCAATATGGTCAGATATCTGGAATATTACAAAAGAAAAATTAACAGCAAAAAATATTACTAGCAAAATGCAGTATCATAAAAAAGGATTATCCATGCTGTAGCGCACAATGAATTCATTTATTCTGGTGAAAATTTTGGAAGCATATAAAGCAAAAAGATGCTCACAGGCACACCAAAGAAAATATGAAACAACTCTAGATAATCCAAAATTTTTCATCAATTAGGATCATTCTTCTTTCATATTAGAGCACATGCATTCCCTGTCCTTCGACTACGAAATCACCTTAAAAATAGCTAAATCGTCCAAATACCAACAAAGCTTCAGAATCACCTCAAATATAACTGTTAAAGACAATGAAAATCTAGCTCCAGCACATGCTGATTTGACACAATATAGAAAAATTCAGTGAGTAAAATGTTGACTTAAGCATATGCAATTTAGATATTGAAGAACAGGGCCCAAATTCCACAGACTAAATGATATCTCCACCAGATAAATGAAATGTAAAGACTGAGAAAAGCATAAATAGAAATCAAAGTGCATCATCACTATCATACCAGGAAAGTTTGAGATCACTGATGAACTGGAACCATGACGTAAAGGCACAAAAAAGAAGAGGTATTCAAAAGAAGCTATTCCTGTTATTGCCATCTATCCTCTCTCTCTCTCTCTCAATCTCTTTCTCTCTCTTTCAGGTGAAGGAACCCAAATTTGTAAGGGTGTCTGAACATTTGTTTTGTATAGCTTCCTCAAACCAAGCATTATATAGCTTATAGTACAAATTCAGATTGGTGAATTACTGACATTAAGTTACAATATTCAGAAAATAGCAGGACAAATCCAAATACCACCATTGAAAGCCAACTTGAAGTCTATATCTATATAATTCAGGGGAGTTTGTTTCATTGAAGAAATATGAACAAGGAGCTGAAACAAACTTGACAAAAATCCAACAAACTAAAGTCTAAAACTCATATGTAATGCTGATAATAATAAATTGATCACTAAAAATTTATGCAGTCTACATACCATAAAATCTGAACTAAAATGGAAAATCATAATCAAAGTTACAAACCTGTAGGTGAAGAGAGTGGGCAAAGGGCATTCTGTAATTATGGTCTTAAGATCGTCGAGAGGACTAAAGCTCTTTAAACTATCTAATCGAATTTCCACAAGGTCAGCACCACTAGCTTTAGCTTTACCAGCGTCGATCACCATCTTATCTACAGATTCCGCCATTATAGGAACACAAATCAAAGTCGCGTTCCTGCTGATATCTCCACCTTCCATTCTTTGGTCAGAAGAAGCTGAAGCAAGCTAAAAATGTCCAAGAAAAATGATCGATAGAGTGAGATTTGCGACAATGCCAAAAAAATATCCACCTGCTAGTAAACAAATGTATATAAGATTTGAATGGTGTCTCAGTAAAGACGCCTTCCCTTATCTTTTTCCCCTTAATAATTATAGTTTCTAGGGAAATCAAATAGAAGCTAAACAGTAATGAGGAAAAAAAACCCGAAAAGACAAATAAACGTCGGAAATGCATGTAGGCAAATAAAAATAAAACGAAACGAAGAGGAGAAAGTTATCCAATTTTCTTCACTTTTCGTCATTTACATACTTCAATTTATCGAAAAATATACATAAAATCTTCTCTTTCCAGAAGAAAAGAAAAGAATAAAGAGATCGACAAATCTTTATTAAAAGCAACGAGAGCTGGCAAGATCCAAACTGCCTGGAAATGAAAATGAAACAACAAGAGTATCCAAATTATCTTACAAGCTCTTGCTGATTTTTCTCAGTAACCAAACAGAAATAAAGAAAGAAGAGTAGAAATCAAGCGGAAGAAGGTTTTACCAAACCGCTGCTAGTCTCCATTTTGCAAACTAGAGTTGAATGTGCAGCGCCTGCAAGGAGCCTTGCTTTTTGAAGTCTGCGGTTCGGTGAGTTTGGTGGTTGGTGGCGTTTGTGGTCGGGGGTTGGTGAGTGGACGATGCCAACGCTTTCAGCAATTCCATAATATTTCCATGTGAAAATAATAACAATTAAATTTATTAACTACCCTTTTTAATTAAATTTACAAATTATTTTGAGAAAACAGACATGAAGCTAAATAGCCAAATATTCAGCAATTTTTATAAATTTATAAATTATGTAATTCACCTAAAAAAAAATCACAAATATAATAAATTTACTCATACTGAATTTGAATTAATACAAAAATAAATTATTAATTTGTTGAGAATAATATTTTTGTTTTGTCTGTTATAATTATCTTAGTTTATTATACAAGATAAAAAAAACTATCCAAATTACTGATAAATAACTTATATTATTTATCATATTCAATAAACTTAATTTTTAGTGATTTTTATTTTAACTTTCATAAAATTTATTTTAGAAATTCAAGAAAAAAATAAAACAAATATTACTTAATATAATTAAAAAAAAATAAATGTGTCAGCATGTCTTGCAACTAAATGTCATGAAATTAGGTACTGTTTTACCGTACAAAATTCTCAGTAAAATTTCTGTTGTTTTTCATGTGAAAACTAACTTGAGAATAACCTTTTTAAAAATAAGCTGGCATATTCATCTTGGAGTTCATACGAATCGATTTTTATCAACTGACTTTGTTACTTAAAAAGTCTAGGCAAACAAGCATATTCCTACATGAATTATCTGGCAGTAGTTCTACAGAGTGTAACACGTCCACGGCTGAAAATGAAGAATATTCAACGTTAAAAGATGGAGATGACACTTCCCCATGGAAGAATATAAGCAGATTTCGTCTAACTTAATGGCAATGTGTATTCACACACACACACACATATATGTATACTTGTAAAAAAAGTTCATTAAGTATCCAGGGCGTTAAAGTATCAGCGATTGTCCCATATGAGAGTGCATAGCTAACTACTGAAGCAGGAATTACAACTATACATTAAAACTTCATATCCTAATATAATTAATCATCTTCTGCTTCTATTCAATCTTCCATCTCCTTTTCCTCTGTTGCAAAGATGGATGAAGATAGAGTTTCGTCTTTGCAGTCAGGATCTCTCTTTCCTCTTTCAGATATACTGAGACACCAACTAGAACCTCCTATTTCAATTAGTCATTTGCATTTTCTTCCTCTACTGCTGCTGAAGACTTGGACTCTGCAGCATCTCCAGAAGTATTTTCTACTTCTGTTGCTAAGGATGATGAAGGCAAAGCCATGTTTTCCACTTCATTTTCAGTTACAGTCCCACCATCATGAGATCTTTCAAACTCTTTTGGTTCCCCCAACACAGCTGAGTTGCTAATAAGAACCCTCTCTGAAGATGAAGGCAGAACCCCGGCCTCCGATATATTCTCTGTCGCAACAGCACTGAGCTCTACCACATCAGTGTGATCTTCTTTTTCAGTTTTTGAATCTTCCGGGTTCCTCCAGTATCATGGATGTTGCTGCAGAAGAAGCCGAACAT